GAACACAACTGAAAGGACTCAGTAACAAATTCATTTTATTTATACTTATTCTATATAATAATAGATAGTGTTTATATAGCACTTTAAGATTTGCAAAGCACTTTATAAATATAATCTTGTTTCATCCTCACAATCACCTTGGGAGATAGATGCAATTATAATATTCCCATTTTATAGATGAGGAAACTGAGGCTCAAGGAGGTTAAGTGCCTTGTCCATGGTCACAAGCTAGTTAGTGTCTGAGGTAGGATTTGAACTCAGGTCTTTCTGACTCCAGGTCCAGCTCTCTATCCATTGTGCCACGTGACTGCCATACTCTCTTTCTTGTTTCTCTGCTTAGAATGTAAGTCTCTTGAGATTAGGATTTGTTGGATTCTTCATATTTGTATTCTCATTTCCTAGTACAATGCCTAGCATATAAAAGGTGCTTAATAAATGCTCATTTGCTTGATTGACTAATTGAGGTAGTGGAGGTTTGTATAAAATGGAGATATTAACATTTATACTACAGAGATATTTTATACCCTATAGAGATAACAGATATAAAATGCTTTACTACAGAAGTATAATAGCAATAGCTCACATTTTTAAAGCCCTTTAAGGCTTACAAAGCACTTCTTATATAGCCAGGGAGTTGACCCATTCACTCACTTCTGACTCTCTACGACCCAGCTGCCTTCTCACTCTGGAATATCCTTGCTTATTCCAGCCCCCTTCCTTTTTTTTGGTGGGGAGTTTCTGGGGACAGGTCTAGCCTGGTCACACTTCATTCCCCTTCCAGCTGTATTTCTGACTCTGGATTTCACCATCATGACTCAGTTGACTTCTCATCCTGTATCATCCCACCATAGTAAATGCTTGTTGCATGGCTCCTTGGTTGGGTCTTAAATACAAATAAATGAGAACATTTGCAAAGGAATCAGAGATACATGGGAAATAAGACAGTGACAAATATCTCCCCTAGGTGCCCAACCCTATTCCAGAGAGAGTAGCAGATGACCCAAACCCCAGGACCTGGATATAGCCCTTCAATGGTACTGTGAGTCATGCGGACTGTATAGGTCCCTGGGTCATAAGATTGCTAAAGGACCAAAGCTGTCTTGACCACTTAAATGTTTGACTACAAGTCCTATGCATTTTCTGTCTCTTCAACAAAACCTTTCCTACATTCAATATCTTCTTAACCTGAGTGCTTGCATAGGGCCTTTTTCTCTTCCTTTCCTTTCTTTTAGGAGAGCTAGACATAAGATGAATTCTGATGTTTCCAGGTGAATCCCTAGGTAGGAGAACAAGTCTTTAAGACTGATCTTTCAAAGGTCCCAAAATATTCACGATAGCTCCTTTTAAAGGGAAAAAAACCACTCCTGGACACAGAATGGGTACTCATCATTTTGCAGGATGGCCAAAGAAACCGTGGTATATAAATGCAGGTCATTATTGCACCATAAGCAATGGTGAATATGAGGACTTCAGAGAAATTTGGAAAGATTTGTATGCAGAGTAAAGTAGTGTAAAATCAAATCTATTTCTGAACCAAGAGATCAATATACGTGATGACAATAATGTAAAGGAAAGCAGCATTAAAAAGTCAGAATTCAGATTAAGGAAATGACCAATCTTGACCTCGGAGGACTGGAGAGGAAACGTATCATACTCCTCTTAGTAAGGAGGGGTGAACCATAGGTTTAGAATGGGGCACATGTTGTAGATACCCAATGGGTTAATTTGTTTTATTTAACTGTACTGCATCAGTACAAGGGAGGGTTCTTTTGGATTAGTGGGATGTGACAGACAGCTAGGTGGTACAGTAGGTAGAACACTGGCCCTGGAGTCAGGAAGACCCGAGTTCAAACCTAGCTCAGGCACTTACTAATTGTGTGAGTCCAGGCTAGTCACTCCATTTCAGTTCCTCATCTGTAAAAGAGGATAATAATAGCATCTACTGGGCCATTGCCAGTCATCTTGACTTTTGTCTTGCTGCTGGACTTCAGTGACTCTGGAGGACAGAGCGAGGCTGTCCACCTTGTACAGCTCTGCCTCCCCTAAATCCAATTCATGAGCAAGTCAAAAGGCCACCCTTGTGACATCATTGGTCCTCTTGGAGAACGAAGGACAAACAACAGCAACAATATTTCCCAGGATTGTTGTGAGGTTAAAATGAGATGATATTTGTAAAGCACTTTGCAAAACCTAAGGCACTATCTAAATACTAGTTACTGTTACATAAATGAAATAGGTTTTTTTTTGTGTGTGTATGTTTTTAAAAGATTGAACCTGATTCATATGAGCCCAGCATTTCAGTAATAGACCATGCAGCAGTTGCATGCATACTGAAGAATTTCCAATGCCTTTTTTTTAAATAAAATCTTTGATCTTCCCAATTCATAAAGCTCATAAAGATCATGTTGTCTCATCTTCTTTTCCCATATGAGCAAACTGAGACCCAGAAAGGTTAAGCAATGCACCCAAGGTCAAAAAGGTGATAAGGAGTAGAGCTGTAATTCATCATTTTGCCCTATATCTCTCACAAGGTAGTAATGAGTATCAAATGACATTTTACAGTGAAGAAAGAACTTTTTTATATGTTTGAATGCTAAACATTATTAAATAAATAATATTAAATAAATAAATAAACAAACAAACAAATAAATAAATAAATAGATCTGGAGCTGGAAAGTATCTCAGAAGTCATCTAGTCCAATTATCTCATTTTACAGATGAAGAAAATGAGGGCAAGGAAAGTGGAGTGACTTGTCTAAAGTCACACAAGCAATGAGCATCAGAAAAAGGATTTCAACCAAAGTTCCCTGACTCTTAAGCCAATGTACTCTCCACCATACTAGCCACTGGAGGCCGTAATACCATAATATTAAGATTTTTTTAAAAAAATAAGTTAAGAATATTCTGGGAATCTTTTTACCCAACAATACTAATAATAATAATAATTTTAAAGTTACTTAAAATGGAGACTTTTCTATATTTATTCCAGTGATTTGAGGGCAGCATCCCTTACTGAACTCTCATTTTTTCTTCTCTGCTGTATTAGGAAGCTCCAGGGATTTTCCTTGAATAAATTACTAGTTCAAGTTCAATAAAGAGAATATTTTGATATTCTGGTTTACTACCAGCTTAATAGTTTGCTTCCTGTTTAAATTCTCTGAGCATCTGAGGGTGAAAAAGTTTGGTCACAATTCAGTTAAAGAATCAGCATTTGGGAAGCTTGGCTCAGCAGACAAACTCAGTTTCTTCTGGGTTTGTTGTTCATCATTCAAATAAATTTCCTGAAGCCACATGTGTCATAGGCATGCAGTTTTTACATATGTTGGCTCATGGGGAAGGACCGGCATCTCTGGAAATGTTCCATTGCTGGGCACAGCTCACAATACAGAATCGCTTCAGAAATGAGCAGTGGATACACGGTGACTGCAGTTCAGACACACAAATCCGCAGGCAGCGGGCACGGCGTCGGGGCTCTTCTGACCTGAGCAGAATCCTGATGCTATCCAGGGTTGATCTTACATGAAAGACACAAGAATAGGGGTGAGAGAACACACACACGCGCACACACACACACACACACACACACACACACAAGTCCCTCCTAGCCCTCCCAAGCCTATCGCTTCTTGCTTGTTTGGGGCTTTATCCCCCCCCCCCCCCCCCCCCCGAAAAAGAAAGAGAATTGTACCTTGTAAAAGAGCTATCAACCCCCTTCTGTCAGAAAACCTAAATAGCGCCCCTACAGGATGGCTTGGCAGAAAGCTAATTCAATTAGTCCCCTTTGATTCATTAACCAGCAGAACTGGCTGTCACTCAGGATGGCCCTCCACAACAAATCAGCTTTTTGATCTACACAAGCTGACTCTATTCACACACAGTCTAAGCATTTTGTGGGGCCAGTTCCTTTTAGGCTCAAGTAGAGAAATGTGTTACTGCCGAAAACAGAGGGAAAAAAATACAAGTGATCGGGTACATGTGGACTTAATCTGTATTTTAAACGTCACTACCAATCCAGTGGTTAATTAGCAATTTGCTGCCCACCAGTATGCAAATGAATGACGAGCAAAGACCCTCAGCAGCTGTAATTATTTTGCTGATTTACAAGCCACTTTTCCCTCAGTGTTTGTTTCTCTGTGTGCCAGCATTTATGCATCATGGATTTCGTTATTTCTAGAAGCTTGCTTTATGCATTTTTATGCTTTCATACTTCTAGCTTCCAGTAATTAGTGCTCTTGAGTACTCCACGTCTATGTGTGTGTGCACGTGTGTATGTGTATATTTGAACGAAGATGCATTTGCTAGAATTTCTTTTGCTCACAAGGAGTGGAAAAGAAGATGTAGCAAGCATCTGAAATCCCAATCACAGCGTATAAAGAGCCAGACCTTGTAACTGAGAGCGACTCACTTTTTCTATTGCTGCTAAAATCTTCTGGGGGACTGTTCTAGTCTTGTAATATTTGGTTTTTCTTAAAGCAGCTTGTGGGAGTCAAGCTTCACTCTTCCTTGTGTGTCCGACTACTTTTGAGCAGTATGTCCAAGGCTTAAAAGCTCTCTTTTGGGGGGAGGGGCACTAAGGAGGGCTCTCATGTTAAATTAAGTCAATTAATAAATGGAGACATTAAGCAATCAATTTTGTCAGCCCTTCTCCCCAGCATTATGTATGGTTGGCTGTAATCACAAGATAAATGCAATGTGCTGATATATGGTAATGTTCAATAATACATTCTCCACCAGGCTCAATTCATCAGGGAGTTTCTGGAGGGGAGGCATTTGTTATTGGCTGTCTCTGCACCTCAAGGATAACATTTCTGTCCTTTTGATTGGCCGACCCACTGCTGCAAGATTCTAACCGTCTTATTTTGATGATGAATATGAAGGCATGCTAAGCCGTGCCGGAGAGTAGTTTTTCCAAGGGCTGCACTCTTTCCAGCACAGCTCAAGGACTGACAATCTCCTCCGCTGTTTTCCTCTACCAACAAACCCTCCCACCCCAAAAAGTTGTGATGCTTTTCTTCACCCAGTGTTTTGGGGCTGTGTTAGATCTCATTCATCTCAGGTTTCAGCACTACAAGGCGAAGAGGGTCTTCTCAGCTGCCGGGCAACTTGTGTGTGTTGTAAACCCAACGCGGAACCTAAAGGTGAGCTGCTCTCTCGGTCTGAATCTCACCCAGCTTGGGTTCGAGTGCATGGTTTTGCAGACATTTGCACGGGGTTGGAGCCAATTCTCTCTCTCTCTCTCTCTCTCTCTCTCTCTCTCTCTCTCTCTGTCTCTGTCTCTCCTTCTCTCTCTGTGCAGGGAGCTTGGAGATATTTTGTGGTTGTTTTGTTTGCTCAGCTCTCAAGAAAAGAAAGGTAACCGGGATGTATTCTCATTCCTTTTCATAAAAGGCATCCAAGTGGGACTGGGGTGGAAAGAACAAGGGTGCCTGTCCCCTTTTCTTATCCTTCTGTCACGAATATTCATGGGACAAATGTTCAGGAGAAATGATTTGAAAAGTTAGAGAAATGACAATCTGTTCCAATGTGTTTGGAGAAGCACTAACCACATGGAGGCTGGAAGCTCCGTCTGGCTGGTGCCAAAGTGAGCGATGTGGCTGGTGAGTAGACTTCAGGGGGCGGGGGATAGCAGAGAGAGAAGAGGGAGAGTTCTCTTTTGCAACTTGTTTACCCTTACCCTTAGACGGGTAATTGCTTTTGGTTTGCTAGTCTGGACCCTGTGGGCTAGCTGCGCTTCAGCCCTGGGGCCAAGAGAGAGGGAAAGAAAGGAAGGAAAGAGGTTTGTCTGATGAGTAGGAAGCCTATCTTTATTTTGCTGCCTTAAAACACTTTGGTCCATGTTGCTTGTGCTTGCTATGGCCTCTCTACTGAGAATCTTGGAGCTGCAGCTGCTCCAGATCCAGCGAGTTAGTGTCTCCGTTAGAGAGCAGTCAGGTTAAAGGGAAACCACTGATGGATTCCTACAGATATGATCAATGGGGAGATAAAGTACTAGTAGCTTGGCTGAGAGGATGTTGAGAGAGGAGAAGAACAGGATGAATATGAACATGCTGAATATCTCTGAGTATGCTAAATGTTCTCTGAATGTGCTATAAAATGTAAGATAGATTCTTAAGGACTTGTTCCCTTTTCACGCCTGCCGGGGGTGGGGGGATGGGGTGGGGGGGCGGCACTCACTTGCACTCCCTATTCTTAAATCCTGCTTGAGAAGAGAGGCTGTATCAGGAAAATGTATGGGCATCCTCAGATAGGATAGCTATGTCATTCTCCCAAACTCTCCTCTGATCACCTGGGGGAGCTGCCATTGGCTTATTTTTCATCACCAGGAAATCCTTAAGCTTCTGCTAGACAATGTGGATCTTGTGAATCAGTGCTAAAGTGTAGGGGCCATCAACCTAGCCTTGAACTTTCTAGGAGTCTCTAGGAAAGACAGTCACCTACATCCTAGGGTCAAGATACCGCAGGGTTACTTCTCCCCAGGAAGTTGTATGCTCTGCAGCTATGGGAAGGACCTGTCCCAGGTGCTGGGTATTTATCTTTTTTTTTTTAAGGCGATTGGGGTTAAGTGACTTGCCCAGGGTCACACAGCTAGTAAGTGTCAAGTGTTTGGTCTGAGGTCGGATTTGAACTCAGGTCCTCTTGACTTCAGGGCCGGTGCTCTATCCACTGCGCCACCTAGCTGCCCAATGGGTCTTTATCTTTGAGCAGGTGACTAAATTTGGGTTTTCATCTCTGCCTGAAAAACATGTCCCTCTTCCTAACCCCATTCAGAAATATGTTTTTCTTAATGACTTATTCTTAAAAATGAAATTTACTCTCAGTGAGTTTCAGCAGTGTGTTTGTATAGGATATCTTTTCATATTGTATTTCATGGCCATTTCTGAGGCCATATTTACAGTTCCATTAATAATTATACTTCTTTGCAGGGAGGAAAGGACCATTTATTATTTTGATTTTTAAAAAAATGTTTTATCTTTTTAAATGTTTTATCAAAATAGCTTTTACTTGGTGGCTCAATACATTTTTTAGATTTATAACCTAAGAGGTTAAAGTTGATATGAAAAGATACCCTTGTTAATGGCTTGAAAGGAGGAAGTGATATGTGAAAGGTTTCCAGATAAATGAGAAGTGTCTAATTGTGAAACAGCAGCCCTGATCCTATTCTAAAGGAAGTCCTAAACCTGTCACTTAAAGTCTTTAGGCTTTTTTTTTTTCATTTTGGACTGGACCTGTGATTTTGTTAGTGTGAAGAACTCTCGGTGAGGAAGCTCCCTCTACCAATGCACGTCAACATCTGTTCTGCAACTTACAGTCTTTGAGAGTTGCCAGAGACAAGTAACTAGCCCAGGGTCACATAACCTTTGGCCATTCTGCATCAGAGGTGGAATTTGAATTCTGGGTTTCCTGAATGAGAGGACAATTCCCTATGCACTACACAATGATACCTCTTCAACAGAAAAGTCGTATAAGAAATAATTCTTTTTACAAAAGCAGCATATATCTTAGTCACTGAATATGACTCATTTTCCCAATGCTTTCTTCTTCTTGCTTTTCATTTGCCACACAAAACCATTTGGGGATTTTGCTCAAACAGCCCTCACAATAGGTAAACAGAGCAAGCTGGGTGATCTGTTAAGGGTGCCTGCAGCATGACAAACAAGCACGCTTGCAGTGGGGAAAGGGCTGTAGCAGAGCTAGACACACGGTTACAGCTCATGCTGTTGCTGCCCCCTCTCTGGTATATCTGCAGTCCATAGGAGTGAGGAGAGCCCAGGTTTCTTGAGTCCCCTTCATCTTTCACAGATCTCTTCTGGGGGGTAAAAAAACACTCCAACAGAGTAGTTAACTAGCCAAGCAATAGGAAACAGAGATCTCTTGCATTAATAGTCCGTGTGTCCACAAAGGAGATTCCCCATTCTAAATTTTCTTTTCTATAGAATAAGGAAACAGCCTATTAGCTATAGAGACTTAGGAGCCCATTACAGTTAAGAAATAAAATTTAAAAAAAATTGTTGACCAAAGAATGGCTATTGATCTTCTCTCTCCCACCCCCAACCCTTTTTTTTTTGTATGAAAGGTTAATCCATGTAATTGTGATCAAGGACACATAGATTGCAACCTTGGTTTCAATTTTCTGGGTTAAATGTGGCTGGAAATAGGGTTGGGAAGCCAATGTTTTTCTTTGTGGAAACATTTTGCACTTTGTTGTTCCCTGGGCTTTCTTGAGAATGCTAACAGTATCTTAGGACCTGAGGCAAGTACTGAGTTATAATCAAAATTCACTTGCTGAGCAGAGAAAATCATGTATTTACCATGCTTCTATAGGTCACCTTCATTCTCAATCTTATTATGGCTATTACTCAGTAACCTGGGATTCTTTCAAGCAGAGACAAGCCGCTGCCTCCCTTTAGAAATTAAAGCCAAAGCTTTCTTGTGATTGCAGACACTCCGGTTAAACAATTACCCTCTGTAAGCCAACCCTAATTAAAGAGGATTGCTCTGAGTGCCAGTGTGCTGTTGCCTCTGACATTAGGGACATAGCTTTCGAGGAAAGTTTTTAAAGTGTTGACTAGGCATGGGAAGAATCAGTAAATGAAGCATTCTTGTTTGAGTGCAAATGAGTCTCAGTGTCCCTCCATATTTCTAGGTGACTTCTTTCATCAGTCTCCCTGGATTTCTTCTTTCTCAGGGATCTATCTGTTGAGTAGGTCCTATGACTTAGTATACCAAGATACTTCATCCCCATACAAAGAAAAGGTTTGACCACAAAGTAGCAGATAACTCTGGCTTGGTGTCCTCTACCCCTCCATTCACAAAGAGTTTTTTTGGAATGTGAGCAAAGTGGGCAGCAAGCCTGGAGACACCAGTTAACCAGGCCTGTGTCTTCCTCTGAATTAGTACATCTCACCTTTATCCTCTGGTTTCTCCTAACCCCACTGCTCAAGTCTTTTCTTCAAAAGGACACACACACACACACACACACACACACACACACACACACACACACA